CTACCATGCCCGGCTAATTTTTGTGATTTTAGTAGAGACAGGGTTTCACCATGTTGGTCAGGCTGGTGTTCTCAAACTCCTGACATCAGGTGATCCACCCACCTCAGGATTACAGGCATGAGCCACCCTGCCTGGCCCTAAGGGATTTTAGATTTTTAGAAGTTAACTACTATGTTAAAAGCTCCATTGTTGAAAGCTAATTCATTGCTTTAGTGGGTGCTGGGCTGAGAGAAAAAATTCACTGCTTTTTTTCCTCTGGTAAAGCTGTTGCCCTGCATTCAAGGGGATACTGTTAAAAAGAACAGCAACCCAATAACTATAATAGGAAGTGAAAGTAATTATTAGTGTTCCTGACTGTTAAACAATATCAGCTGCCAGCATTTGTTAAATTTATGTTTTTGTTTTTTTTTCTGGAATGTTCTCCTGTAGTATAGACAAGAAATGACACTAATCATTAGTCCTTTATGTATTTTTTCTGTCCAACTAGCTGCTAGAATTGTGGTTTTCACCATTCTCTTTTTACTCTTCATCAGATAAAATTAATTACTGACCTGGGTCTAATTGTGCATTTTTGGTATTTTCATGACTTCCTAGTAGTTGACACTTCTGTTGATGTCTCTGTTGAGAATGTTGCCAGTATCCATTTAATGTAATTTAGGTTGACCACAAGGACCTAGTCAGTGGCATTTGCAGCTCAGATCTCTAATTGTCAGATACTTGATTAGTTTTGCCTTCTGCTTTCCTCCCTACCTAGTCTGCCCGTCTGATGGTTCACACCGTGGCCACCTTTAATTCCATCAAGGTAAGAAGCAATGACCAGCTTCCCTGATCTCCATTATCTGCCTTCTCTGTCTACACTGGTTTTTCCACTGTCTTCCTTCCCTGTCTACAGCAGAGCTCTTGTTCTCGTCAGCTGGGTGAGCTGTGACATACCTCACTCTTCCGGGTCCAAGTATGTCCTAAGTAAACATCAGCACGCTCATGGCTGCTAGGTAGCTTGGTTGGCTTTCCTGGTCAAGAGCCTGCCAGTTCTCAACAGTGGAGCAGGCCTTCCCTCTGACTTCCAGCAGGGCAAGGAGCTGGAAGGAGTATATTCTCAGGAAAGTGCAAGGTCCTGCAGCATGCCGGCTCTTCCAGGCCTGCTGTGGCCTGAGAGTCTGCTGGGTGGGTGTTGGGAGGCAGCAAACTGGCTGGGATTTCTCCACGCAGCAGTGACTTAAGAAGCAGTTGCTACCTGCCAGGCCCCAGGCTAGGAGTTGAGAGTGAGGAAAAGTCAGCTGTGTCTCTCTCCCTGCATCAGAGGGGATGCCTAGGTCAGGTGTTTGTGGGTGTTAAAGCTGTCAAGCACAGCAAGTTTTGGCGTGACTCTGACTGGAGTTTTGTTGTTTATGTATACTAATTTATTCAGCTAGGAAGGTTAGAAACAGGAAATTATAATGTGCCTTAGCATCCCCTTCAAGCAAAGCCATTTTCCCAAAGTCTGACTGTCGGCATGACAGGAGAGGAGGTGCAGTGGAGCTGATGTTTTGCTGTCCCGCAGGAGCTGAATGAGCGCTGGCGGTCCCTACAGCAGCTGGCCGAGGAACGGAGCCAGCTCTTGGGCAGTGCCCATGAAGTGCAGAGGTTCCACAGGTGAGGGGTCAGTCCTAGGCTGGGAGAGGGAGAAATGGGACTGCTCGTTTCCTTACAGCCCCAAGCTTGCTGACTCTGATCCTAGAGCAACGGCTGGCTCATATTACTGATGTTGTATCTGACACAGGGCGGATGCTCGGTAAATCCTGCTAAGTGAATTATTTTGATTTTTAGAGCTATTGGTGGTAGCCACAGACAAATGTACAAATGCCAGCTAAATAAATATTTTTAGGCCAGGCAAGTGGCTCATGCCTATAATCCCAGCATTTTGGGAGGCCAAGGTAGGCAGATCACCTTAGGTCAGGAGTTTGAGGCCAGCTTGGCCAGCGTGGTTAAACTCCGCCTCTACTAAAAATAAAAATATTAGGGCCGGGCACAGTGACTCACACCTGTAATCCCAGCACTTTGGGAGGCTGAGGCGGGTGAATCACGAAGTCAGGAGTTCAAGACCAGCCTGGCCAATGTGGTGAAACCCTGTCTCTACTAAAAGTACAAAAGATTAGCCGGGTGTGGTGGCATGCACGTGTAGTCCCAGCTGCTGGGGAGGCTGAGACAGGAGAATCACTTGAACCCAGTGGATAGAGGTTGCAGTGAGCTGAGATTATACATTGTGTTCCAGCCTGGGTAACAAGAACAAAACTCCATCTCAAAAAAATAAATAAATAAAATAAATTTTTTTAGTGTTTGTCTGATAATCAAGGCAACTGTACTCAGCATTTCTTAACCTGAATGTGTCTTGCTTCTAGAGATGCTGATGAAACCAAAGAATGGATTGAAGAGAAGAATCAAGCTCTAAACACAGACAATTATGGACATGATCTCGCCAGTGTCCAGGCCCTTCAACGCAAGCATGAGGGCTTCGAGAGGGACCTTGCAGCTCTCGGTGACAAGGTGAAAGGACCCAAAGTCATCTTCTGGCATTTTTGCCCCAGGCAGAGCAGATTCTCCCATTCTACAGAGCACACCCCCTTACTGCAAGCTTACCTACCACTTTCTCCCCACAGGTAAACTCCCTTGGTGAAACAGCAGAGCGCCTAATCCAGTCCCATCCTGAGTCAGCAGAAGATCTGCAGGAAAAGTGCACAGAGTTAAACCAGGCCTGGAGCAGCCTGGGGAAACGTGCAGACCAGCGAAAGGCAAAGTTGGGCGACTCCCATGACCTTCAGCGCTTCCTAAGCGATTTCCGGTAGGGAGCCGTGTTCACTCAGACCTCTAGAACATAGTGCCTTCTTTACAGTGGTCATTTTTATTATGAAAGTAGTACATGCATCTACAGGCATACCACCCTGAACACGCCTGATCTCGTCTTATCTCAGAAACTAAGCAGGGTTGGGCCTGGTTAGTACTTGGATGGAAGACTGCCTGGGAATACTGGGTGCTGTAGGCTTTTTTTTTTT